AGCTAAAGTAAAACAAAGGAAGCTCCTGAAAGTGAGGAAGAAAGGGATAGCATGGCAGGAAATGCACAGAAAAGCAGTGCAGTTCTGGTACCGGTACTAATAATCCCAGTCCCCTCCCACTCCCACAAACAAAGCACTGGTCGCTCAGTTACAACCAGAAGTCAGATTTCAAGCTGTGACACTGCACTTGTGGCTGTGTGCAGAAGCAGTGTCACCATCACTGCCCTACAGGGAGAGGATCCAAGGCCAGAGCATGGAGGCCTGTTGCAAGGGGGCAGTGGTGAGGCAAGGAAACAGGTCAGGGCCACTTTCTAGAGGACGCCTTGCTCTGCATTTTCAGATGGAGGCCTTACATGAATTTATAGTCTTACACTGAAAGAGCTCTGTTTTCCTAGTATAATAAATATATTATTGGTTTTTCCCTCATGGTCACAAAATGGCTGCTATCCCTCCATGTATCACATTTGTTCAAGGTAGGAAGAAGATAAAGGGGCATGCCAGTCATGCTTGACTTTTCCAGGAAAGTAAAAACTTTCTCAGAAACCTCTCAGAAAACCTCCAGTGTTCCAAACAGTATCACAGGACATGTCTAGCTGTAAAGAAGTCAGCAAAGCAAATGTTTAACTCTTTCAGGCTAAATAGTGGAGGCAAACAAGGAAAAAAGGAGCTGCTGGCATGAAGTTCGCCAATCAACAGAGCCTAAGAGGAGAATCCCTTTCTCCTCCATTTCCCCGTTCCCCCAAGGAGCAGCCCTTGCTTTTCACAGCTGGAGTTTGCTGTATACCAGACAAAAGCCTCTGCTGTCACTGGTTTCCTTTAATCCAGTTTTTTTTTTTTCCAGAACTACAGATAGAATCCAGGGCCTTTGCACTGAGTTACATCCCTATCCCTTTTTATTTTTTCTTATTTTGAGGCAAGCTTATGTTAAGTCACTAAGTAGCCCAGGGTGGCCTCCACCTTGCGATCCTCCTGCCTCAGCCTCTCAGAGTGCTGGAATCACAGGCAGCTGCCACCACGCCCAGCTTCAATCCAGTTCTTACATTAAGATTTAGCAAAAATGCCTCCGGTTCGTAACACAGGTGCAAGACTCATCCTTGGATTCTAACGCTGCCGCTGCCTTTTCCGTATTTGTTTATTCTGTTGGTTATTTTAATAAGAATTTCTGAGTAGGAGAAGAGTAAAGGGCCCGTGCCCGGGAGCCAACACCACTCTTCCCACGTGTTAGCACACTGGCACCTCCAGGGCCACGGCGCAAGTGATGCGTGAACCGGAGACTGCAGTGGGTATGGGAGCAGAGGCCTGGGTGCAGGCAGGAAAGGGAAACTCGGGTGGCGGATAACAAAAGACCCCGCCAGGCATGGTGCTGCACACCTGTAAGCCCAGCCACTTGGGAGGCTGAGGCAGAAGACTCACAAGTTTGAGCTCAGCCTGGGAAACTTAACAAGACCCCGTCTCAAAATTAAAAAACAGAGCTGGGGCTCTATATCAGCTACTGGGTATTACCCCCGGTATTTCAAAACAAAAACAAAAACTCTTTGCCACACCTTGCCCACCAGATGGATGCCAGCCCCAGCTGGACTCCATATTCTTACACACACGGGGATGCATTTTAAGACCACCGGCCCACCGTGTCCCCTGCAGGGTGGTCACCGTTTCTAGGCAGAGGTTGCACGTAAAGCCAGGAAAAGTCAGGCCCGTAACTTTTGAAGTTCTGTTCATTCAAGAACAGAACCGGCGTTGCAGGTGCAGAGGGAAATGGGAAAGGCCGCTAGGATCCAGGAGGAAACGTGGCCTGCGCCAAGCCCATTCATGTGGGCGGAAGTGGCTCTGTGGTCCCAGGGCTCGGCAAGGACAATTCCACACCGTGTCCTCGGACCCTACGAGTTCCTTCTCCCTCCTGCTAACTCCCTCTCTTCCTCTTTGCTGTCCGGATATTTCTGCTTCTCTCTTCCTCCCTCATAGGATTTCTTCCTTAATCCTCAAAACGTGAAACACATTTTTATTTCTCCTTGTTGTAAAAAGAAAAGAACCGTTCTGTTGCTTCCTCCCATAAAGAAAGAGAGGGAAAAGTATTTTCAATCATAGATTTCCAGATTTTCTTCTGTGAAACCTACAACCCCAAATTGGAAAGGAAGAAAAGTTCCTCCGTCCCAGACTAGCTGAAGAAGTAACATTACGGAGATGAAGCGGGGCCGGGGAGGAGGGAAGAGAGTTGGGGGGCCAGACAGGTGTTTCTGCGGCGCGCCCTGCAGGGACGGGCACCCAGGCAGCGAGGGAGGACAGAGGGGGCCCCTGTCTTCCTTGTGACTCCTTACTGCATGGTATGGAAAGGCATCAGCGGAAGACGAAAGGAGGAAGTTAGCAGCCCCTGCCAACACCCTAGAATAACTAAGAAGTCCAGCGTGCAAACCCTCCCCGGAGCGTACCTGGGGAACGAAGATGAAGCAGTTGACCGCGGTGGTGCAAACAAAGATGCCTCCAGAGGTGAGTCCAAAGACCAGGTTGGGCCAGGTGTGCAAGTATCTGGTGACCACAAAAAGCAGCCCCGCAGCCAGGACCAGCAGGTGGACCCCAACCATGATGGTGAGGGACTGGTTCACAGGAGGAGAGCTGACGTGGTCTGTCAGGCCAGCCAGGTAGGCGCCGTACAGCAGGAGCAGCCCCTGGAGTGCAGAGAGGACCGAGAGCACAGAAGTGGAAGAACAGCTCAAAGAGCAGCAGGGTTGGGCAGGTCTGTAAACCTACACCAATCAAACCTACCTTATGGGCTGCGCTGGAGGATTTGCTAAGATGGCACAGAGGGAAACCCTTAGGGCCGCCTCTTGTGTAACAGGTGATTGAAATACATAGTGAATGTTTACATTTTAAAAAATAAATCTTATTACAGTAAAAAGACTCATTGCTAGAGATGATAGGATAACTGTTCCAAGTGAAAAGAAGTATTTTGAGATTAGTCTCTTTCACTGTCATAAATGTCTTAAACATTCACCTTGTTGATCAAATATTTACAGCAATTGATGTCAAATAAAAACATAATGGTGAATCCATGTCTACCTCAGTCCCTGAATCTGACACTGTGCAACTCTGGTTCTTCCCCAAAGTTAAAAGGAACCATGAAAGGGGAATGTTTTGAATTGATTCAGGACATCAAGGCAGGCATGACAGCCTAACTAAAGACACTCATGAAAGAGCACTTCCAGAACTGCTTCAGAAAGTGGCAAAAACGATGGGATAAGTGCATTTGAAGTAAGGGGAATATTTTAAGGAAGACTCACGGCCATATGGCTTTTACTGTAAGAAATTTAAAAAGTTTTAAAAACATTCACCATATTTTTCAATCCTATCTCAGACATAGTGGGGACTTAATAAATGTGATTTTCCTCTCCTTCACTGAGAATTAGTTCATCAGAGGTCAGCAAGTCAGCCATCATGCAGGGCTTTTCTGGGACAAGGACAGAAGAGGTTCCTATGGGTGGATGGTGTTCTACAAACAGGGGTCACGGGGACTTGGAGGGCAGGGGTACCCTCTGCTGCCGGTGGCAGGAGCTACCACATCCACTGGCTGGTTCTGTGCTGTGCAAAGCTGAGAGGCACCAGGAGCTGACAGTGACCCGTGACCTGCTTGTCACAGTAGGCAGTGGCGGGTGAGCTGGGAGAGGTTCTAATCCACCCAACGTGCCATCTGCTCGCCAGGACTGCGCCTTCCTGCAGAGGAGGCTGCCCCAGTGCACGGAGGACCTCTGGGCTGGCTGTGGCTCTCCATGGCCGACTCAGGGGAGATGGAGGGTGGGAAAGAAGGGACGAGGTGGGTTGGGACCCAGGCAAGAGTGAGGGGCAGGCACGAGCCACGTCACTCCATCTACATGTTCCCTGCTTTGTCACAGTCTCTGCACCACCACAAGGACCTCAAGGCCAATGCTTTCCTCTTTCCATGGACATAAACTGCTCTGGTGCTCTCGTCTGTGCTAAGGAGAGAAAAACTCCTCACTCTGGGTGCTTTTTCCAGGAGGAGCTGCATATACGCAGAAAGCAAAGCTTTAATTAGTGACACATGGGTTCGACACACGCTAGCCTGACCGCGTGGAAAGGGCCACACAAGGTGTAGCTCAGGAACTGGTACTACAAGCTTGAGCCATGGGCCTGTATCTGCAGGGCTCAGTCTGGTAGGGAGGCTTCGGGGCTGCACACACACACACTCCCGGCTACAATACAGACGTGACGCTGCCGTTGTGGGGTGAGGTGGGGCTGGGAATGCGGCAGTCAGGAGAAAAATGATGGTGAGGCCAGGTGTCAGAGGTCCCCTTCCAGTTCCCCTTCCAGCTCCCCCTGCGGGACGGCCCTAGAGAAAATTTTTGGAGTACTCTGTGCCAGGAGGGAAGGAATCAGCATGGCAGAGCTGCCTCCCAGGTACTTCTAATGCCCAGGTCCCACATGGGGCCAAAGGGCTGAACGTGGCCGTTCTGAGATGGTCAATGGCCAGGGACCCAGAGGTCAGGAGGCCAGCGGGCCCTGGCATTTGGGTAACTGATACTATCAGAGGCGTTTGGAAGAGTTGGATCATTCGTACTGTGTCAAAGGTGAATGAAATTAATACTGTGACTCTGCAGTGATTAAATAGGCTTCTCATAAAATGTTTTCATTCCATTAAATTCTTGCCCAAAGGGAAAGCAGCGTGGATAAAGCTCCCACACACTGAGGGCCCTGGTGTGTGTCACACGTGACCCCTGTATGTCATTTGCCTTCAGTGCAAAGGGTACGGGGAATGACAGGCTCAGATGGAGGCTCCCAGAACTCTGTAGGGACCGGTGTCCTCCTCAGGAGTCCCTCGGTGAGCACAGGGGTCACTCGCTTTCCTCCTTCCTTCTTTCATCCTCCTGAACAATGTGACGGAGCTATAACATGGGGATGGGAGTGCACAGAGGACAAGCAAGGTGGGTTGCGCGGTGCTGCAATGAGCTCTGCTACAGGGGCCTGAGGACCGGGAGAAGCACTGGGCTCCCCAGACCTGTCCAGAGGCCATGGAAGAACAGTCGTAACCGAATCTAACGATGATTGTATCTCCACACAAGCTCTTGCTGCGGGCCAGGACAGGCAGGAAACTCTATGCTGCTTTGACTCTTTTGTAGCTCCACATGGCTCTGAGGGGAAGTCATCACAGTCTCTATTTCATAAATGAGTGAACGAGGCTCCAGCAGGTTCAATGAGGCTCGTGGTGAGTGAGTGAGGGGCCAAGTCGGAACTCAAACTCTATGCCATTACAGTCTGAGGCTTATTTCCCCAACCACGAGCAAGATACAAGAGACTAAGAGCTGTTCACCTCCTGGAGCCTTCTTCAAAAAGTATTTCTATCAAAGTAATATATGCCCATAGTGACAAAGCATGGTTTCTCTGGCCCAGCCTGCCCACCCCCAGGACTGTCCCTCAGAAGTGAGCACCTCCAACATATTCCAAGTGGTGCAGTAAGTGCAGGTTACCTTTAAAGGTCACCGTTGCTACAAAACCTTCTCCAACAATCAGTTACCTGGGCCTCTCTGCCCCAGTGGTCAACGGTAGCCTCATTGAAACAGGCCTGTCTCACACCCTCAGAACCAGTTCTCTCTTTCTAAGCTGGAAACCTGCTGAGAGAGGGTCTGTCCCAAGGACACCCCCTTGGTATATGGGTGTCCAGCCCTCTGGAAATAGTACTCTATGTTTCTCCCTCTAAAGGAGACAAATGAGTCTAAGGACAGGAGACCTGGGCCCCTGGGGATGCTTTGAGGGACCTGGACATGCTCCAAAGACTCTGTGCATGTTGCTGTCTGCCTGAGGTCAGACCTTCTCCCAACCAGAGAGAGACAGTCAGGTAGGCAAAAGGCAGCAGGGTCTGTGATCCAGATCTTGAAGAAAGATACAAGAAGCTTGTAAAGGTACTTAGGAGGAGAAATTAAGTCAGGTAGAATGTGTCCTCACAATTCTACTTGCAGGGGAGCTTCAGAGAAAACAGCACTGTGAAGTCAACTTAAAAACCACACTACAAAAGTGGAGAAACAGTGGGTGAATCCAGATGATTTAAAGGATGTAGTTTGGATCTAAAATTTCCCCCCAAAGGCCCAAGTGTTCAGAGGGAGGCTTTTGGCAGGTGACTGGATCATGAGTAACTGTGGATGGAGTCACAATTTAATGGCATTAGTGGGAGACATCGGCTACTTTGTAGGTGGAGGCCTAACTGGATGAAGCATGTCACTGGGGACATGGCTGTGAAGACTACCTTGTTTCTGGCCCCTTCTCTGGGGACCCCCACTTCCGGCTGCTATAAGGTGAGCAGCTTTCCTTTACCACACCCTTCTGCCATGATGTTTCTGCCTTGTCACAGACCCAGTAACAGGAAAGCTAATTACCATGGACTTAAACCTCTTAAACCATGAGCCAAAATATAACTTTTATCCTTTAAATTGTTATTCTCAGGTATTCTGTCACAATGGCAGAAAGTGGACTAACACAGGGGAAGACTGAATGAAGACATCCAAAGAGTTGCAAAAGTGACCCTGCAAACAGAAAATGTAGAGAAATAAAAAGGGTCATGGCTTGGAGATTTATGCATCAACAAGGTCTTCTCTGAGTGCCAGATTCTTTGGAGACATTATTAACTAATAGATACTACTAAATTTCTGTAATTCTCTGTTCATCCCTACTTTGTTTGTGACAAATAGATGGCACCCAAGGGGATGTGGTTACCAACCTTGCATCCCAAAACGAGAGCAATCCAGACATCGGAGTACCGTGAAGCACACAAGTGTGTGTTGGTCAAAGAGCAGGACACATCTCTCCCTGTCACCTAGGAGGAACACAGGGTCAGGACCGAGGGCACCTACAGTTTCCAGATCACACAGCAGATCTTTGCACACATCCTAAACTATGTACACATCCTAAACTATGCACACATCCTAAACTTTGCACACATCCTAAACTATGTCCTCTCCAACATATAAATTCCCCTCCACTATATAGAAACAAAGAAATGTAAGCGGGGCGACTCCGTCAGAACCTCAATGAGTGACTCTAAGTTGCAGGAAGCGACGATAAAGTTGGGTGAACATGTGGATGCTGGATGGCAGGACTTCCTCTCAGTCGCTGCTTCCACAGATGATTTCAAAGATTGCCTCAGCAAAGTTACAGATTATTTCACATTATAGAGCTTCACTGGCAAACAGCTGAATCCTTAGTACATCAGATCCTCCAATGTCATAATTCCACTGTATTCCTCAGCTCCCTATGATACTGGGGACATGTAATACTTCCTATTAATTGAATACCATGTGCCATATTAAGTCCTTGATCTGAATGTTTCTGTTAATCTTCACCACAGTCCTACAAAATAGGCAGTATTATCATCCGTACCTCATCTAGAAAAGAGACTCTGAGAGGTTAAGTAACTTCCTCAAAGGTCACGTGGCTGGTGAGCATGGTAGATGGGGATTTAAACCAGGGATAAGCAACTCTGCCTCAAAATACTACCTCTGCCTCTCAACAATTAGGGAAGCCAACTTCCCACAGCTGAAAGTTCTCATTATTGGTGATGTGGAAGCAGACGTAACTGCCAGGCAGGCTCCAGGCTGCTGCCATCTTGGGGTGTCCACAGCTCGGCACTGGTGCAAGAGGAGTGGTGGGAGTGCAGCCACCGCTCCTGACTCTTCTTCCTCTCCTTGTACAGGGACAGCCACTTGGTGGGTGCTGGCCTCCGTGTTACACAGAAAATGACCCTGTGTAACGCGGAGGCCAGCCTAGAGCAGGACCTAGATTCCCCAGGGATTGGGCCACTCACTGTCATGCTGACACCAAGGATCTGGAGGCACTGGACAGGATCGGTCAGCACCCATGTCACAAGCAGGACCACATCAGCCATCACAAGAGCTGCCACCAACCCCAGCAACTGCAGGTCTTTGATAATCTGCAAAAGAGCCAAGGTGAAAATGTCGCTTTGCTTGCTGGCTACATGACAAAGGGGCCAGAGTGTTTTGCATGGGCCATGGGCTCCAGGGATAGCTCTCTCAAGAGCTTCAAACACAGCCAACAGCAATGAAACAGATACCAAACTACAACGATGACGTCTATGTTGTTCTTATCGCTGTTACCACTAACTGTTTTCATTTGAAAATTTTCGGCATCTTATCTTTTCTGACAAAGGATTCAAAGGGTCTTACAAAATAAATACACTGCTACTTCTAGATATGTTTATAAGCACACACAGAGAAATGTGGAGGTTCTGACATCTACTGCCTAACAACTGCCAACCCAGAGGGTGGGGTGGAGAGGTGGGGATGGGGATGGGGAACTAATAACACTTTTTTATGTACATAAATACTATTTGACTTGATATGAAGAGAATGTTACTTTTGTGATCATAAAAATAAAATTAAGAAAAAATATATACCGTGACAGGATAAAACACTGAGAAACACCAGGGAAGAGAGAAAATAAGAAGTATGAGGAAGGCTCAGATGAGGAACGTACACAGCATTGATGAATCGGGGCAAAAATGTGCATCTGTGCTTTCGACAATGGGAAGAAAGAAGCCCCACTAGTTACATGCTTCAAGGTGTTCGTAAGATAAAAATAAATCAGGTACCTGAGAAAACTGCTCAAAACCAATAATGAGCCGTTCTTCAAAGCAACCAGAGAGAAAAAGACACATTATATGTAAAGCAGATACGAGCCTTCTCACAGGTACAAGGCCAAGGGAGAAGACCGGGGAGGGACAGCTTCAAAGTACTGACGAGAAGCTGGGGCTGAGGCGATAGCTCGGTGCTAGAGCACTTGTCCAGCATGCGTGAAGCCCTGGGTTCAATTCCCAGCAGAAAAGAAAAAAAAGAGAGAGAATCTTTCAGAAACAAAGGCAAAGTAAAGACCTTTTCACATATATAAAATATGAACGATTTCAGCACTAGCATATTGTTAGATATCTTCCAGGTTTTCAAAGGAAAATGACGCCAAATAAAATGTGGATCAGTACATGAAATTATGCTGGTTTTATTATTTACATACCTTTAAAAGATAACTAATTATTTAAATAAAATAATGACAATAGGATGTGGCTTATATCACTCAAAACTCAGCAATAAAAAACCAAAACATCCCATTAGAAAAATTAGGTGAAAGACCTGAATAGACCACAAAAAAGATAGATGAATGGAAAAATAAGCATGTGAAAAGATGCCGTTATGGTTGATACATTGTGTCAACTTGACCAGTCTAGAAGTTTGGCTAAGTGACTCAGCAGTTCTGCATCTTGGGGTGAAAAGGACACGCCCTTACCCTTCTGGGATGTTGTTCATTATGTCAATTTGAGAAGGTTAGAAGGTTAACTATGTGACTCAGCAGGGAGCCAGAGTGTTTACTCTTTATTCATCTTGAGCCTGTGCAAGAGGAGGGCATGGAGATTATGTGAGTGCTACATGCCCACTAGGTGGAAGTAGCCTGCTTACAGTATAAGAGAGGGAAAGAGGCAGCTTGTCGCCACTCCTCCCATTTACTCTTGCTGCTTTTGCTATCTTCTGCCGCCATGAACTGTTGCCCTGTGCCATATGCCACCCTGCCTTGGAGCCAGCCGAGTATGGACTGAAACCTCCACAGACTATGAGCTACATAAACCTTTCCTTCCTTAATTTTGGGTGTCAGGTATTTTGTCTCAGCAAGGAGATAAAAGTAACCAGACAGATGTTCAACACTGCATTAGGAAAATGAGAGACTACTACAACCCTACTAGTATGGCTAAAATGAAAAGAATCTGACCAAATCAAATGTTGGCAAGGATGATTAGAGGAAATGGACTTGTAAGCACTGTTGGTAGAAATGTAGGTTGATATGATCATGTTCGTGAGCAATGGGGACTTCTTTAAAAACTTAAATATGTAGTTATCCAATGAGCCAACCACCTACTCTTAGATTTGTATCTAAGAGAAATGAAAGCATATGTCTATAGAAAGATGTATACATGAAAGTTCATAGTATCTTTATTTTTTTAATAGTCCCAAACTGGTAAGAACCCATACATCCATCAACACACTGAAATATTACTCAGCAATAGTAAGAAAAGAACTACTAAAACACACAGTAACATGGGTGAATAATTATAGTATTTATCAAAATAATTATGTGACTAAAATAAGCTAGAAAAAGGAAGAGTAAATTCTGTATGATTCCATGTACATAAAACTCTGGGATATACAAACCAATCCATAATGACAACAAGCAAATTAATGATGCCTGAGGAAAGGGACAGGGATGTAAGGTCTGGACAATACAGGAGCCTGAGAAAATTGCTGGGGTTATGGGTACATTCATTATATGCCATGTTTCATGGGTGTACATGTGTCAAACTTGTCAAATCAGAGACTTTCGGCACATGTAATTCACTGCATGTCAATTATGCCTCAAAAAGACTTTTCCTGTAAAAGGAATCAGTCTTCTAGAGGAATAGATGAACTTTTCGTCCTTTTAGGCAATCATCTTCATCTGTGTAGTTACAGCCGAGCTTTTGATAAATGTTCACCATGACTCAGTAACACTTCCTTAAAAAAATCCCATTATTCCAGAGAAGTAGACTTCAACTGAATGATACATTAGGTCTGGGCTGAGCCTCCAGCCAAAGAGGCGGATGGTTAGGACTTGAGCCTGGGCAGTTTTATCAGGGAACGTGATAAATGGAGGGATGTGGTTACAGTGACGCCTGATATCAGGGCCATGTGGGTGATCTGGCTGCCACCTGGCCTTTGGTGTGGACTCTTACTGCTCCAGCTCTGTCTCCATGGAGAGAACTGCCCTTTATGTACTGAAGAACTGGGCTCTGGGCCGGCAGGGGTATGGATGGGGGATACTTTGCTTACTTGCTACAGCTTTTCTCTGATCACTCTCCTTCCTGCTCACACTTGTGTCAAGCAAGCAATAGTCTCCCCAGATATCTTGCTCTCCCTCACACTGAAGCGAGGAAGAAGAATTTCAGGTTAGGGGCCAGGGATATAGCTCAGTGGCATAGTGCATTGCTGGACAAGTACAAGGTCCTCAGTTTGATTCCTAGTACCAAAAGAATTTCAGATTATCCTGAAAGAAGTGAGTCCTGGTGACCTGTACCAGCCTCTAGCTTTTAATCTTCTGGGAGCTGCTGTGTGCAGTCTAGCATTGTGTACTTGAGGTGTACTCACCACTCTCCTGTCCGGGACCCTCTGGGTGAACACCTTGTAGAGTCGCCAACTCTTCCCCAGAATGGGGCCAAACACGAGGGAGGTCCCAATGCACAGCAGGGACAGTCTCACCTACAAGTAGAAGGGGACAGAAGCAAGAGTCATGAGAGGAATCTTCATCACTTCATGCATTCTGAGTGCAAAGCCTCAGGCCCGCAGAGGGCATGAGGTAGGAAGGGGCCTCGCTGACTATGTGCCAGGGATCGCCTCTGAATGCGTGTACACCAAAGACATAGGAAACCACTAATTGTAGGAGCAGTTATGTTCAAAACATCACCTACCTGGATGAGAGTTTCCATCGAGCTCCCCACTAAAACACCTTGAATTCCAAAGAGGTAAGCACTACTGTAAGTCAGACAACTTCCCAATAAGGTCACGATGTTCAGATTGGGACTGGACATCTTCACAATCCTAGGAGAGATCAGGAAGAAAGACATTGAGACCTAGGACCCCTTGCATTGGGGTCAAAGATCTGCAAGATCAAAGTTTCCCCCCTTGTATCATTCCCTATGCAGCCAAAGAGTGAGGGGCCCCCGCTGGGAAGAAACCACTTTATGTCCCAGGGAAAACGTATGGCTTCTTTCATTTACTTTCAAAGAGAACTAAATTCTGGCACTCCCTGCCTGCATAACTCCCAGGCTTTTAAAAGAAGCTGATTACCTACACACAGGTGGTGTCAGAGGAAAGTTAGGATGCTGCCCATGAAGCTTGGGGTTGCTAAGAGACTGCTATGCACAGTTAGTGAAAAAATAACTAGCAGGTCCCTACTCAAAGAGACAGTTTGGAGCTTTTAGAAACGAGCTGCAAGAGGTCTAGGATTCTTTTTTCATACACTGTTCACTTTATTTTATGTGCAAATTATTTTCCTCTCTGTATCTGACCAAGAAAAAGGAAGCAGGGGTCAAAGGCAGGAAAGTAGGGTAGTTCTTTTTTTCTTGAAGTCATTTTAAGTGAGAGTAAACAAGAGAAGAGGACATTTGGAAGGTTAGAGGGAAACGTGGATAGCAGGTGTATGATTTAGATTAGGAATCTCAGATAAGCCCTGGGCACCAGCAGAGGTTCAGGATGTGAATTGGTTAATTTAAGGGGAAAACAAGGCTTATGGTGTAGTAACTGATAACAATTAAATAAATATAACAAGCAACAAGAAGGCATGCAATTGTATTTAAGAATTTTAGCTTTCTGTTATTTCTTTTGAGAGGGGTTTTCACTATGTAGTTCATGCTGGCCTTGAACTCACTACGTAGACCAGGCTGGGCTCAAACTCACAGCGATCATCCTGCCTCAGCTTCCTGAGTGCTGAGATTACAGGCATACACCACCACACTCAGCTAAAAATTTTAATTTAAATAGTGTATTCTACATAAATGCAATATTAATATGAATAGTCATGGATAGTTAAACTTTTATTTTTAAATAGTAACTGAAGAGGAAAGTATTCTTTTCTGTGCCTCTTTGATTACCTGACCAAGCAACTTAAAGGTGAGGGCCAAGGCCAAATCATTTTTTTAGTGCAGCTATTTTAAGGACAGACACAGGACCTAGGAGTCAGTAAACAGTCCGGAAGTGCTGCATTTGAAATGTCATAACCCCCACAGGCCTAATGTGGTTATTAGCTGCTAGTAATGTAGTCCGTCCGTTCACACACACCAACCATTGCCCTGAGACTTGGGCCCTGAGTCCCGCTGAGTTTAACCTTGTCCTGCAGCAAAAGCATTGACGTTTTTCTTTCTCTAAAAGCAAGAACAGCACTCATGTATACCCTTTGTGAGATGGGGATAATAATTTCTCACTAACAGCTGCTGGAGAATGCAAGGTGGCATTATGGCTTAGATCTGAAATGTCCCCTAAAATCTCATGTGTTGGGCATTGAGGCCTGGTGGGACAAGGTGGGTCCTGGGGTCAGGGACCTGGAAGGACATTTCTTTTTTTATTAGTGCATGTTTGTGGTACATGATGAATACGCTCATCAGGGGAGTCGGTACATAGGCACACCGCATCTTGGTCCTCTCCACTTCCCCTTCCACTTCCCCTTTCCTCCCCGCCCTCTTCTCTCCCTTGCCATCTTAGAAAGATGTGTTCTTGTCCCTGGCTGCCTCGAGATGAGCATCTTTCCTCCACCAAGCCCATCTGCCATGATGCTTTTGCCTGGGAGCAGCCAACCATGGACTGACACAGAGCCAAAACTAAACCTCTCCTCCTTCAAGTTGTGGGTGTTGGGTATTGCGTTACAGTGGCAGAAAAGTGACCAGTACATGAGGAAATACGGCAAAGTGCTTGGGCTGCATACAGTAGGCACAGCACCAACATTAGGGGGCAATAATGTCACTATCCTCCAGGTTTTAAGAAACCCAAGAATTAGTTTTTCCTTCTTCTGTTTATTACCTATACTCAATCACCAAGTTCTTTCTCTTCTTACTTCAAAGTCTTTCTCTAAGTTTTCCCTCTCTTCTCATTCCTGCTACCATGATTATACAGGACATGGTCGTGTTAGGAGCAATGGAACTGGAGTCCAGTGTCACAGCTTTCACTTTTGCCACCCACAGCTGTGTGACTCTGAGCCCATCGTTTACTGCTCTAGGCCTCTGTTCCTTCACCCACAGAACAAAGCCACCATCTCTGTATCTACGCCACCAGGGTCATTGTGAAAGTCAAGTGGCCTGTGCGTCAAAACTCTGGGCCAACTGTAAGATGAGGCAAAAGTACTAATTTTTAGATTTTTGGTGTTACCTTCACATCTATGTAACACTGATTTTTTTTCTTTTTTGTATTTTTGAGACAGCATCTTGCTATGAAGTTCAGGCTAGCCTTGAACTCATTTATGTAGCCCAGGTTGGCCTCAAACACACAACGGTCCTCCTGCCTCAGCCTCCCAAGTGCTGGGATTACACGCATGCACCACAATGCCCAACTTTTTTCTGATCTTGAACATTACTTTCAAACTTATTTTCTTAAAGTACCACCTTTATTGCTTCGCCACAAAGAGGTATATGTAAAGGACCATTCGTTTAGTTTTAGTCTTCTGTACCCGGCTTTAAGATTTGGTCCTATCCCATACAGCTACTTATTTATTCAGGTCTCTCTGTTTGGTATCCGTATGTTCAACTGGTGGACTTTTGGAGAGTGATTTTCCTTAGTTTGTTTCTCTATGTAAGAAGGGTATATATGGTAAATATTAATGACAGAAATAAGAACGACGGTCACTAGCGCTTCATAACGCATTTTTAAAGAAAAATGAGAAGAGGTAAAAAAAGAACTGAAGTGGGAAAATGATAAAAATACAGCTTTTACAAACGGGAAGGGGACCCAGAGTTGGAAGAAGCAGAGAAAAAGGGGAGGGGGAGGGGAATAAAAAAAAGAAAAAAAAGAATGAAGATTTTTATGTACATGTATCAACTCCCCATGATAAATATGTAGTCATTTTGTACTGCAAGTGTGTCCTAATTAAAAAAATTAAAAAGAAAAGTGCTACATTAAAGAAAAACTAAAAAAAGAAAAGTACTGACACTGACTTAGGTTAGGGCCCTGCTGACTGGAGGTAGTCACCTGGTACAGTCCAAGGCCTGGGCAGTGACATCACCAGTGGGTGGGCTCCTGCAGGACCACTCTGCCGGGGCCGGACACGGGCCATGAATATCTGGTGGATACTCCCTCACCAAGCACCTGCCTGGCTCGCACAGCCTCGCATCTGTTTTGTCTAGATTACGGAATGTTAGCTTTCTCCCTTGCTTCTTCTCTGCATTTTTTCTTTATTTGAACATCACAAGCTGGTCTCCTTTCAGTGATGAAGCACTGCACGAAAGCCTAATTTAGAATTCTTCCCCTTTGTGATTTAGCTGAGGAACTCAATTCAGTCAGTTTTGAGGAAGCAGACACTCGTCTTCACATCTCAGATGTTCATGTAAATGCACTGTTCAAACAGACGTGCTATGGAATTATACATGTATGTCTCGCTATTTTACTCCTGAGCAATTTCATTGAAAGCTTTCCTCAGAAAAGAAAATATGAATAGATGATTTCCCTGCTTTGTCTGGCCAAGTGAACACCTGAAAGACTCTTAAGTGAATCACCTCCAGTCAGCAGGTAAATTATTTATGTTTGGGGAATGTACTTGTTTCTCTGGTAGGAATTCAACCATCTATGTCATTTATACTTTTTCTATTGAACTAAAATCTGAAGTCTACTTAACTGAATGTTTTATTTTATTTTATTTTATTTTTTTGGTTTTTCTCCGGTACCGGGAACCGAACTCACGGCCTTGCACTTGCCAGGCAGGTGCTTTTGCCACTGAGCTAAGTCCCCAGCCCCTTAACTGAATGTTTTAATTTAGCCAAACAATTTCCACAAAACCAGAAGATTTAAATATTATATACTTCATTATAAATTGCCATTGCCGTCTATGTTACTTGTAGTGCATTTATGAAAAGTTAAAAACCTGGACTGGAAGTCTGAAACAAGGAGAGTTTAAGGGCTGGGGACGTAGCTCAGCGGCACAAGCGCCTGCCTGGCAAGAGCAAGGTCCTGAATTTGATTCCCAGTACCAAAAAAAAAGAGAGTTTAAAAAAAATTATAGAACTTATATCCTATAAATTACTCTATAATATTGTAATATATTATTCTATAACATATAATAATCCATAATATTATAAAATAATATAGAATAATATTATTATATTATCTCATCTCTTCTTTTTCACTTATTAATTGGAAATGTAACACAAAATCTTTCTTGCTACAAACAACATCTCTATATATATAGACAAATGTCTCTATCTATAGAACTTGTATATTTCTGGATTATCATTTCAAGTCTTTAATAAATTGTGATGCTTATCTGGCCTTTACCAGCTCAGGGATATTACGTTTTAAAGGTCTTTATCAAATGTTGATTCCTAAACTTGGAGATCTATCACATTTGGAGTTACTGAGTTTGGAAACATGGTCTGAGATTGGGCAGACCATATTTCTTGTACTGCCATGACTGTTAGAAAACTTTCTTATAATGTCACATGCCATACTTTCTAAACTGCTACATGAGCTGACATAGAAGGCATGTTGAACATTAATGTACAGTACCTGAAATCAAACATGAATCTTTCTAAAAGGAATTTTAGTAAGATAAGATTTAAATGATAAGAATTGCATAAGGAGCTGGGGATTTAGTTCAGCAGCACAGCACCTGCCTGGCAAGCACAAGGTCATAAGTTCGATTCCCAGTACTGGAAAACAAACAAACAAACAAACAAACAAAGAATTGCATGAATTTCTTTTTAAGCCCCTTGCTTTTGATCTATGCAACAATTGGTTGATAAATCTATTTCATGTAAAACTCCAAACCTCTTTATTTTAATGTTAGCTGATATGTTTCTGAAAATCTGACTGCTTTGCTGTTTTGGTATCTGAATTAATCT